AGGCGGGGGAGGAGGGAGGGCAGGGGTAGGAAGGGGCGGGAGGAGCCCTTTCCAGCGAATAAGTGGTCGCTCTCTCGACGGCTGGGGACGGCGAAAACATTTTTTAAAGGATCTCTGTACAGCGGTGTCTTTATATGTTTAAATAAAGCCATTGTTTGGGTAGCGGATTGAACGCAGGCGGGGTTCCGTTATCCCTAGTAGCCCTTTCCCCAACTCCCCGAGGCAAGGAGGGAGGAGGGCGCTTTCCAACAAACTGAGCGTGTGCCTCTCCTTCGTACAGACCTCGCCGTGCCCGAGCACGGCCGGGGTGCTCCGGATGTGGGGCACTGTTCGAGGGAAGAATGAAAAAAGGGTTAAAAGAGAAACGAGAACCCCGGTTACAAACGCTGTGGCTGAGAGGGAGGGAAGAGTGTAGCGAGCGGGGAGAGGTGCCGCAGCGCACGGGCTCGAAGCCGCGTAACCCCAGCAGAAATTGGCTGCGAAGATAAATCAGGGATGACAGCTGAGAGTTTGTGAACTGAAAATAACTATCCTTAGAAGAAAGAAACCAGCACTGGGAAATCCCCCATCTGTTTTGTTTACTCTACATATGCTTAGCGTGGATGTAGCAGTGGTTTATTTTCACAGTGAAGAGATTATACATAAGAGGGATTTCACTGCTTTATTATTACCATTGTTATTGTTATTGTTGTCGTTATTATTATTATTATTAATAATAATAATAATAATAATATCCTATCTTTTTTAAAAGCCACATCTGTATTAACTTCAGGTCCATAAGCAGATCCTAATTGTTTGTTTGTTTCTTTTAAAAATCGAGCTGGTTGTTTCAAAGCAGCTATTTTAAAAATGCAGAACTAACTGGTGTCAAGTAAAAAAAAAAAAAAAAAAAAAAAAAAAAAAAACATATTAAATGCATCCCCCCTCATCATAATGTTTCTTAGGACATCATGATGAGCATTTTGTGACACGGGGTAGGAAAGGATTTTCTAGTTTCAGGTTTTGCTTTTGCCAGATTATTAAAGCTGTTGATGCATAGAAAAGGAGGAATGGGGACAGAGAGCAGGAATATATTAAAGGTTCCATTTTTTTTCCAGTCTTTCCTCTGCCGTCTTCCTTCTTGCATCTTGCCTAGCTGTTCTCATGTCAACCTGAGGGGGAAAAAAAGTCCTGAGGGGTTTAAAGCTTTGGAGTTCCCCAGTTCAAGGTGGAAAGGGACAGGTTTGTCCTCTGGCACATAAAAGAAACAGCACTGACCCACATAAACCTGCCTGTATCTTTTTCTCTCATGTGACCTCTGTGCTGAGATTGAGAGTTTATAGACTGTGTGTTTGGGCTGCCTCCAGCCAGAAACCTCAGCAGTGCAAGGAGTGTTCTGAAACACCACTGATTTCACAGCCACCTTATGTTACCGTATCACAGGGAAAAAGCTGTGGGTGAAATGCTGTTATCTTCATAGTCTGTTCTCTGCTCTACCACCTGTCAGCAGCAGGAGTGGATGTATGCTAAAGATTTCTTGCAGGTCTATAGGTGAATCTATGGCACGGATTTCAAGTCTATGTTGGAAGCTATAATCCTAAAGGTAATTAGGAACGCACAGTGGCTTTTTTTCCTGGACTTTTGCTTTCTTTCTTTACATGTGTTGTGTGTAAGATGATAGTGATCATAATGTATGTAATGGTCGTATTGGGTCTGAGGCATCTAAGCAAAACTGGACATAGCAGACAAGAAGTGGTGGAAATGAAAATCTTTGAACGCCAAATCTGTCCAGCTCCCCTTTATAGCTGCTTTTTACCTGGGGCTTACAACTTCCACGGTTCTCATACAGTGAATTTTACATTTCCATTTTGACCATTACTCTAGAGTTTATGTAAAATACTGGGATTGCTTGTGCTTGACTACAGAGGGAAATGGCAAAAAAGAAAACACCTCTGAAGTACAACCACTCTCACACTGAACTTTACTTCACATCTCCACAAACCTTAACTGGCCTCAGAGCATATTTCCATAAGAGATGGCATTTGAAATGGAGATGAAAAAGTGATCTGATATTCTCTGTACTTGTACTTCATTTAGTATCTTTTTCCACCTACTTTAGAAGTTTGTCTGAAGCATTTATGCCCAGGAGAGTTACAGCTTTGAGAGAAGGCAGAGCTGTGTGGTCTGGTGCACCCATTTATTTATCCTACTGATCCCAGAACAGCTCTTGTTTCCAAGGAATTGTAGAGTTTGAATGCAGAAACCTTCATTCCCATGGCACCAGAGACTGCTGATGGAACTAGCACCTACTGTAACAATACTCAATGCTATGATGGGTTTAGGTTGCAGAGCACGGATTTTCCTCCTTAGGACAAATAGTTATCTAAGAACTGTGTGTTACTGATGATGGAGATGAAGAGTCAAAGCACCGCTGTCATCCTTAATGCTCCAGGGGCCAGAACAGAAACTGATCTAAGGGTTGAAAAATGCCACCAAGCTTGATCAGACTGACTTTGGACACCCTGACTCTTGCTGAGGAACAGATCACACTGAGTCAATCCTACCAATTTTAATGGAACTATTCATAAAGCACTGTTCAGTCTGAGCCTGATAGAATCGGGCCTTTACTATGTTTTGTAATCAAGCCATTTTTATAATGGAGATGATTCCTATGATTTTCATCATCTTTTTATGTTCAAATGAGTCTTTAATCTGTTAGAGCTGTAATGGTGTATGGATAACCTAGAAACCCTATACTGGCAGTCCTGGCTTTGATCTTTATTTTAATACTTCAGTATCACTACTATCATCCCCTTAAACTATTTACCTTCTGTAGAACTTATTAGCATCTTTTGTATCTGCCCTGACAGGAAAAAAGCTAATGAAGTTTATTTATAAATTTATATTTTAAAAAAGGCATGTTGCAGTACAACCCCTCAGTAAGGAGAGAGATTTTATTCATCTTTTTGCCTCTCTTGTTTTATTGCTTATGCCTTCCCCTTCTGTTTGTTGTTGGGGTTTTTTTTGTTTTGTTTTGGGTTTGGTTTTTTTTGGGGGGTGGGGGGTGGTTGTTTTCCCATTTTCTTATACCTTTTTATGTTTTATATTGCCCTCACACATTAACTCCTTTCCAATTAGTTTTCCTTATTTCTTTTCTCATTTTTTTCCATCAGTAGCTGTCCACCAAAGTCACTTCACTTTCCTAAGTTTTCTTTTTTTGCCACTGCTATTTCCCCATGTGGAACTTTTTGATTCTAGTATTCCAGCATCACTTCTGCTAATGGGTACCACTCCAAGCACTCATCCTCTCGTTTGAAGGGTAACAGGAAAAAAAAAAAAAAAAAAATCTCCACAGTGCTTATTCCATTGCAGAAAGGAGGACAGAGTTCACAAGATCAGAGAAGACAAGATGCACCTGAGCTAATGATAGCAGCGTGTGTGGCAGTGTAAGGTGAAGAGTCTCACTGCCTCATTATAAATGCACAGTGCTCAATTAGCAGTGGAGGATGCCCTCAGCAACCACTGCAGGCAATGCAGCTGCAGCTGTTGGTCGTGTCTGAATTTTAGCCTGGAGTACTAACCAGTGGCTGAGTGTTTTGATGCACAGCCGACACACACCTTGGCATTGTTTTTACACATAACAGAGATCACACCACACAGTAACCTCTCATCTCTGCTTGTTCTCCATCATGTTCTTTACCCAGACTCTTCTTCCCAATATTACCAGCTCTAGCTGATGCTGGTGTTGCATGTTGTTCGAGGGATGATATGGCAAAGAGGCATGGGAGGGTAGGCTTCCCCCGTGCCTTAGAGGAAAAGCTGATATATACGGTCTGGGGGGCAGGACAGCTTTGGAAATGGTAGCTGTGTACTACCCCTTCCCCTTCTTTCCCTGATTTTGTAGATTTGCATTGGGTACATTATACAGGTGTAACAGTTTTTAAATCAGTTTGGTTCCAGGGGATTTTCTGAGCATGCATTCAAGTAGCCATTATGTTATTTAGGGTTTTCAAATGTTTGCACATTGATCTGTTCGTGAAAGGAAAGAAGACAGAGCTTGGCAGGAGCCCAGAAGACTGCCACAGAAGCATGGCTGCTGATAAAAAGCTTATCTGTTGGCTAGCAGAAGACTGTATCTGTAAAAGAAATGCAGCTACATATTGAATTTTCTCTGTCAGAGGAATAAATCTGCCATAAAAAAATATAATTCACAACAGAGGACAATTCTATAGAACAGAATTTTATTCAGACTGTCTGCTGAGTATCTGCTTGTTATGATGGTTAAATGGCAAAAAAATGATGCTTGATCCTAAACACCGCTTGACAAATACACTTCTAAATCTATTTCCACAATTTATTAATTAAATTGGATACAAAAAGTGGTAGGTTGGCACAGACAAATTTCCCTAAGAGGTTGGTTTCAACACTTCTTAACAAATTTGCACGGAAAAGAAAGCACAAAAGGCACTAACCTACAATCAGGACACTTGAAAAATAAGGTGTCATGTTTCTGTGATGTTGGCCTGCAAGCTTCAGGAATTATTCCAGGGACATCTTGGCTTTTCTGCTGTGCAAGGAGTCCTCTCTTTGATGCTTTCCTGCAGTGGAGTGAGATCCTTTCCTTTGCTGCTACAGTTCAGCCTTGCAGGCAGCATCCTCAGAAGGGTGCTTGCTCTTTTGAGAGGCGAGACTGCTGGACCCTGAGCAGCTGCGCATAAAGGAAAGCAGGAAATTTTGCCCTGCTTTGGAGCCATTTCAGAACACCGTGGACAGTGGGATCACAGTTAGCATCTTCACAGTACGATTATTATAGAGAGCTCTTGTCACATTTGCTGCCCTTTCTTTAAAGTAAGTGTGTAAACTTCTCACAGAGCTGATTTGGTTTCAGTGGTATTATGGCCGAGATTGGGTTACAGCTCCTCATTTCGTTTCCTGTGCCTGCCTGAGGAGAGTGTGGTAGGAAGC